TGTACAACAGCTTGTTAGACAAGCTCCACTGTCTCGGAATTGAATAAGTTCCATAATTTTACACAAACTCTTTGTTGGCAAAATTATGGAGGGTTTTAGGTGTGTGTTTTTTTTTAGCTGCAATTTTACTTCATGAACTTCCCAGTTAGAATTGCACTTCTTCACAGTGCAATCACGTGCCTCTAAGCCACAAGTTTCTCTGCGGTTTCAGAATATGTTCCTAGTTTTGGGTAGTTCATTTTCTTACGATATTAAGAGATTTAATGTATTACACATATGGAGATGCAAGTGAGGGTGAAATTTTAATATTAAGGTGAGAGTCCTTTGCTGGTATGGGAAATAATCAGTGTAGGTTGCACTGTGTAAAGTCTTTTGAAAACGGGCCATAATGTCATACTGTGTGCAAAGCCTGCCTTTTGCCTGTTCATTCAGGTGGTCACTATAGAGAAGGCGGAAAGCACCAGCTTCCTGCCCAACCCCATCATCATCAGCATCAGGAGCAAGAAAGCGTTCCAGTTCATCGAGGTCAGGGAGCGGGACGAGCTGGTGGAGAGCATGACGAAACGGCTGAGGAGTGTTCAGTGGAGACGAGGGGTGTTCCGCAACAAAGAGAACCACAGGAAGACCCAGGTGAAGCACGGGCTTTTAAGGACGCAAAGCGAAATGCGATGTCTGTTTCTGCGTGTGCGCTTTCCCCTGGTGCAAAAAGAACAATTAAACAGGTTAATTGTAGGCCCTAAACACTATTTTATAGGAACTGGGGTTCCTTCAATTTATCTTCATCATCTGTTTAAGAGGGTAATTGATTCATGGTTCTGTGTATTTATACTGCGCATTTTCATCCCCCCCCGAAGAGCAGAGCCCACCTGGGTGGCAGCTGGCAGCCCTGAAGGGCCTGCACAGCAGATCAGGCAGAGAAGCGAGAAATCGCTTACCTGGTTGAGTTAAGGAGCTTAATTTAGCCAAGATGCTAAGAGTTAACAACCCTCATTTAATTATCAGTGCTTTGGGATCTTTAATGCATAGTCAGGTCCTTGGTTTAACATCTAATTTGAATGATGATACTTCACACAGCATGGTCTCATCTATTGCCATACTGTTTTTTGAAAAGGAAAGGGAAGAGTACTACCTTCTAGTCCATCTGTAGCATTTACAGTCCTGACTAGTTTAAACTAGAGATCTCCCATCCTAGCACTGACCAGACATAGCTTTGACCAGCCTGACTCTTAACTTCCAAGATCGGATGAGATACAGGCGACAGGACGGTAACTGTTCCATCTACACAGAAGACTGACCCACTCGTATCTCAGGTTCTTTCATCCTGAGAAAACACAGTGTTAAAATTAAACTGAATTTAGTGGGTTTTAAAGACGTATGACCATGATATGAGACAAACAAGTCAATTTCTGAATCCATCCATGTGTCTTTCTACTTGAATTGAGATTAAACACTGTCACTTTTCAGCAGAGGAAAATGAGGTACCCATTCTTAATATGAGGGCTCAATGTTTATGGCTGCACCTGTAAGTGGAAATAAAATTGCTTTTGTTTTTTTTCCAGATCACTCCTGCGCTTTACTACACATTCTGCTACGATAAAATGTATTCAGACTGCGAAAACGCTGAGCCGTCCAAAAAACAGAGCAAACCTCTGTTGAGCACAGAAGCCTTAATGTCAGCTTTCCATCACAAACTGCCTGAGCCTTCAAACAGCACATCTGTGAGTGCAAAGTGCTTGAATAATTGCTTTTAAAATTGGGGATATAAAGATTTCATCTGCATGTTTAGGTAATGTGGTTGTTTGCGGAGGCATTTAAGGGTGTAGCTAATGACCAAGTGACAGATGGTACATTCCTCTTCCCGTTTTGGCTGAGCGCACATCAGACAAGGTAGCTGCGAAACAGCAAGCAGTTTACATCCGAGCCTCATGTAAGAGTTGCTGCTTTTAGTACTCCCATGTGTCACTGACCTCCAGGGGCACTTTGTGCTTGGAATGGTCTCCCCTTTAACAATTCGTAATAACTTTGTAAGTATAGGCAGTAGAGGAACAAATAATAGGTTTATTCCATGCTGAAACGAGAAGAAAAAAAACGCAACCTTTCGGCCGTGGAGCCTTCTTCAGGTGTCACAGTAGAGGCGTAGATGATAGAGGCCCGGTTCAATTTAAGCTAAAATAATCCCTTTTTCGGAACTTGAATAATACATTGGAACCACGGTTCACATGATTCAGCCGAGCCTAATGTTTTCAATGTGATACTGATCCCCTCAAGCCATCTCCCAGAAGAGACCTACGACTCTGAGAGAACCTTTCTTGCTCGAAATCCCTGAAGGGGTGTCAGCCCTGATTGCTAGCCCGGCGTCGGCAGTATTGTAAAGGCTGTTCCCTGCTGTACTCTAGACGATGGAGCAGGCGAAGGAGAGACTGTGGCAGGACCACTTCTCAGAATATGGTAGGGGCGTCTACATGTTCCGGACGGAGAAGATCCAGAAGCTGGTTGCCATGGGGATCCCAGAGTCGATGCGCGGGGAGCTCTGGCTGACGTTTTCAGGTGCGTTACGTGTTTGGGCTGCTGTGGGGGTCTGTCGTTCGGATTTCAAGTGCAGTGCAGGTTCTCTCGCGCCCTGACTTCCTTTCCTCATGAGAACGCGCCTCCGGGGAAGCGTGAGCGATGCGCTCTTGGGTGTTGGAGTCCGTCCTCCCTACAGCGGCTGTTCGCCTCGGACCTTTTCTCTCCTCAACCGCTCAGCCTCGCGCGCAGAGCTTAGCAGCCCCCCCTCTGACTGTCTTTATTGGACGTAATTAAGGAAATATTCCCGTTCTGTTCATGTTTCTGGGGATGGGCCAACATGGCAGCGTTTTGAACCGAAACACGTTTGTTGTTTGGATCTGTTTTGTGTGTTTTTAACTTTGATGGTTAGTTTCACTGCACTATTGTGACTATTTTGTGTACCAAAGTCTTCATGGGTCTTACCTTTTTGGAGTTGGCGCACCATGACTTCAACATGGACTTCAGCTTGAAGGACTAAACCCAGAGGCTAAAATTGTGTACTTGTGTACTTCTAAAATTTTTACAAATAATCTTGTTCTACTCTTACGATTGCACTGTGCGGCACGCAGTGCCTCCTGTAATCCTGCAAAACCACAGTATAACCGTAAATCCGGTTCAGAGTGCTTCGAAAGCTGCCTGGAATGTTTCCGGTTCTTGTGCCGTCGGGAAGTTAACGCCTCTGGAATTCCCTCAGACGCTGCCTCCGACCTCGCCTCCCACCCCGGCTACTACGCCGCCCTGGTGGAGGAGTCCATGGGCCGGTGCAGCCTGGTGACGGAGGAGATCGAGAGGGACCTGCACCGCTCCCTGCCGGAGCACCCAGCTTTCCAGAACGACACCGGCATCGCCGCCTTGCGGAGAGTGCTCACCGCCTACGCCCACAGGAACCCGAAGATCGGTTACTGTCAGGTACAGTAGGAGCCCCCCTCCTGCGCCAGGGAGCTGGGACCAGTGGACAGCCCCTCCGTACCACCAAGAATTCCTCCCTGTTTTGAAACCGCTGCCCTTTTCTTGAGTTTCCCTACCATGGAGGGACAGAAGTGCTGTCGCCCTCCACAACACATCACATCTGGCCATACAGATCAAAGCGAAGAGCAGACTTCTCCGGGCACCACGCACCCAGGACGCTGGCCGAACACTTCCTCTTCCTCTTCCTCTCGTGTTTTATTCCTTTTTCCCCTCCCTGTCCACTAGTCGCTGATGCTCAGGAAGTAACTTCCCTCTGGGAAGCTGTGCTCTTAAAGTGAAGGGAAATTCCTTACTTCATCTCAGAAAGAAAACTTTGTCTAAGCCGTGAGACAGTTGTAATAGTTTTTCTCTCAGCGTCGTGGAGTTCCCCTCTTTAAGTGCTGGAGTTAATGGTAAATTTCTCTCCAGGCAAGAGAAGGATTGTAATTGAATTGCTTTGCTTCTGACAAAAATGTATGCCTGACTGATGTATAAAGAAATATCAGTGCATGAATAATGTGACGCTGGGGGCATGTGTCCACATAAAAGGACAGTTTTTATTAAATATACTCCACCTTTCCGTTTGTACTCCAGAGCTATAAATAATGAGTGAAGTACACAAGGCTACACTCTCAAATTCCAGCTTTATTAAAGAAAATGATGGTAAAACAAAGAGCTCAGAATGTACAGTACCAAATAATGCTGTTTGCTGTAATGGAGATTCACACAATCAGCCAAACCTTTCAGGATGTTCCTTCCTTAAATAAACTCAGGACACAGATTCCCGACACTTCCATAAAAACACTAGCAACTGGTTCGTCACTCCTGTAACGAGCTTTTAAAAGCAGGATACATGCATGTTCATGTAGCATCATGAAATGCACATCTTTAAAAAAAACCCCAACAGCCTCGAAGGTTCTCGTAAGGTTGCTACCTTATCAAAGGTGGTTGGAGTTTCCGCATTATATTCCACTTTTATGGCTGTCTGGCATTCACTCATTTTGCCCGGGGATGTCTGATGTCACGTGTGTCGCTGTGGAGGTAGTCTGGGTTTTGATCAGTTTCCAGCTGTTCAGGTTTAACCCCTTGTGTCCCTGTGCCTCCCGCAGTCCATGAATATCCTAGCCTCCGTGCTGCTGCTCTACTCCAAAGAGGAGGAGGCCTTCTGGCTGCTGGTGGCCGTGTGTGAGAGGATGCTGCCAGATTACTTCAACCACAGAGTCATCGGTATGTTCCCGCCGTCGCCCTGTAGGGGCCCGACAGCGTGCGACAGGAGAGCGAGCCTCCCTCTGGCCAGAAGAGCGCCGCGTGTGGCTGGGCTGCGGCTAGCGAGGCCTCACCGGCCTCTGTCAGCGGCGCCTGCTCCTGGCCGGAGAGCCTCAGGAATGTCCTGGACAGTGAACCAGTACATCACAGTCTTGCGTTCCAAGAAGTTACTTGTAAATGGCTTGCAGCTTCGGATTGACCTTATCCTGTTGGCTAATTCGTTGCTCTAAATACTCCCCCGTGTTTTTTCTTTTCGATAAAAAGAAAGCAGTGCTGCTAACCCTGATGTAAGGCGTTCTCTCATTTTTACCGGTTAAGAAAAGACGGCGACTCAGTGCTGAAGACCTTAACCTGCTCCAAGCCTGTTTAACCCCCATGTGCAGCATGGCTTTCTGTATAACACCATTATCTTCTTTTCTGTCCAGTTTTCTGGAAATAATGCTGTGTACGTTTTTATGGGTGAATAATGCGTGCCTTCCTTGCAGAGTGTACTCACTCTTGTGTGTCCGTGTGTGTGCGAGCCCATACAGCACAGGGTGCTCCTGGTGTAGCTCAGTCCGTCCTCCTTCCAGCCCACTCTTACCCCTCCCCCATGTGCCCTGTGCTTGCAGGAGCCCAGGTAGACCAGTCTGTGTTTGAGGAGTTGATCAGGGAGCGTCTCCCGGCGCTAGCTGAGCACATCCCTGACCTGGCCCCACTCTCCTCCGTCTCCCTCTCCTGGTTCCTCACCCTCTTCCTCAGCATCATGCCCTTCGAGAGCGCGGTCAATGTGGTGGACTGCTTCTTCTTTGATGGCATTAAAGCCGTCTTCCAGCTGGGACTGGCGGTGCTGGACGCCACGGCCGCATCTCTCTGCAACAGCACCGACGACGGGCAGGTTTTGATGATTCTGACCAGGTACGGCGTCTCCACGTCAAGTCTCGCGAGACCTCCGCAGCTTCCGTCTCCTGGGGGGAACTGCTATGGGAGCGATCTGTCCGCGCCTGTGTGCAGATGAGGGCTCCAGTCACAGTCGTGTCCCGCCGGTGGAGTGGGGAGATGGTCAGGAGCCGGAACCTGTCTCCAGTAGAACGTGAGGTTGTTCCTGAGAAAACCGTGGGAGATGCAAAGAAATAATTGGCCTTCCGCCGTGGAAAGCGCATGCCCCTTAAGCACTCAAAGAAAGTTTTAGTTGTTTTGTTATGCATACCAGTGTCAAGTACTAATTGCAGTAAAAAAGTAGAGTCTGTATTTCACACAATCTTCATTTGTTTCTGAATTCCCTGAAATCCATTATTCCTCTATGTTTTATGTGTGTATTAGAAGAGCACGTGACTAATAATGTCAAAACGATTAACGATATTGTGAATTTTCAACTGACTGAAAACAACATGACCTAACAGTGTTTAAGGGCTATCCTGCTGGGTCTTTTTTTTTTCTTCTTTCCCCGAGAGGCATTAATAATGCAAACAATGCTAATTCTGTATGCTGTACATGGACGTGTAACAGTATAGAACAATGTTTATAGTTCGGCAAATAAAAGCAGTGCTGAGCTTCAGCCTCTCCCTCCTTCCAGTTTTCTAGATCATGTCAGGAATGAAGAAAGTTCCTGGCCCTCGGTGAGGAACCAGGCCTCCTGTGAAGGATCCGACAGAGACTCCACTGAAGACACGCAGATCGTCGACCTGGTGCGCGACTCCCATGAGGTCAGCACTGTCAACTCTTACTACCGGGGACAAGAGAGCAGGGGGCTCACTCTCCGCTCGGGAGACCATAGATCCCCCCCGAAAAGAAAAACCTCCTTCCTGCGATGCCTAACCGCGTTTTGGTGTGGCCTGTGTTTCCCCCGCGGCTGTAGAAATTCGGGGACCTGACCGTGAGGCAGATCGAGCAGCTGCGCCGCAGACACAGGGTGCAGGTGCTGCAGGCCCACGAGGACACCACCAAGGAGAACGTGGTGAGGGAGCCGGGCTGGGCACGCCAGACAGCCCCCCGCCGACCACCGAGCAATCCCGCTCCGTGGCGCCCATCCCCCAGCCTCGTTCAGGAAGCACCGGCAGCCGCTGACTGACGATGATCCGCGGTTACTTGTCCTCTTTATGTTGGCACACGTTGGCGATCTTAATCCAACTCAAACGCCAGACACCAAGCTTATTTGTTGTTATGAAATCTCAACCTATGAGCTCAGTAGTTCCTCCCACGAAACACTACTCCTCGATAATCAACACACGCACTGTATGTGCTCACTATTTAAAGAGTAAATAACAGATACGGCTTTCCTGGGGTAGGCTTCGGCTCCACCGCGACCTTGAATTGAATGAAGCAGTTAGAAAATGGGTGTGTAGGTAACACATATTGATGTCGCATGGCCGTCAATTGTAAATAATTCAAAATGACAATGAAGTAATGAGAGATGCTTTTTGTCTACCTGACAGCTCAGAGTTGTGACACAGCGTGTTTCACTCTCAGCAGAGGAGTTGGGAGATGTGTACGACCTGTTTAAGGTAAGATAAATTATTCAGTTCATAACAGAATTAGAAGGTACTTTTGTCCATCAAAACCGGGCATTTTCTACAAAAAGATTTCCTAGAACAGTTCTTGTCCTGTTTCTCATCTGAGAATAGTGTCTTGACATTTTTAAACTCGTTGTCTTCTGTAAACATGCAGTGTTTCTGGATTAGAAACATGTCTAAATCATTATAACGGGTGACACATAGTAGAAATGCTGACACAGGCTCTGAATTTGAATTTCAGGTCAGGCTGTTTGTTTTCCCCGTGACAGTGCGGCAGATTTTCAGAGGAAATACAATTTTGTTTTGCAGTGGCTGCAGGTGCCTTTAGGTGATAATAATAAATAATAATACATTTTATTTTATGTAACCCCTTTAAAAGTGTCTTATCAAGGTGCTTAACAGTAAGTAAAGAAGAGACAGCAGAATGACATTGTTATGCTAAGGATTTGGAATACAGTAGGAAAAGCAAAGGGGCAGATACAGAACCATTTCAATAAAAGGAGAAGGTTTTGGGTCTTGATTCGAAAGTGCTCAGGTAAGGTGACTCTCTGATGCCCTTGGGGAGAGAGTTCCAGAGCTGTGGGGCAGAGCAGGAGAAGGCCCTGTCGCCCCTAGAGTGTAGACGGGCTTGGGGGACAGACCAGTCGGAGGAGTGAAGGCTGCGAGGTGGGGAGCCGGACGACGGTAAGTCGAACAGGTGCCGAGGCGCCAAGGCATGTCGAGATTTGTAGGCGAGCATTATTTACATAGCGGTGGTAGTGTGGTAGTATGGACGTTTAGCACGGAAGGGTCTTTGTGTCCCTAGCTGCGCTGTACGGAATGACACGGTCCGCTCCGCTGGGACTGGAGTGCCCACGCTGCCTCTCGTGTTTGCGTTCCAGGCGCAGCACTTCATCAGCTGCTACTGGGGGGGGCCGGGGCCGGGGCCGGGCCTGCAGCGCCACGACCCGAGCCGGCAGTACGCCGAGCAGTACCGGGTGGACCGGCCGCAGTTCAAGAGCCTGTACCAGCTGCTCTCGCCCTGGCCGTGCGGGCTGCACACTGACACCGTGGCTCACCGCACCTTCGCCCTGCTGGACGGCGACGGGGACGCGCTCATCAACTTCGGGCAGTTCGCCGGCTGGCTGGGTGAGATGGCGGGCGGCAGGCGTGGCACGCCGGGCAGTTCGCAGCAAACCGCTCCCGGGTCTCATCCGGTCGGAAAGAAGCCTCAGTCGCCAGCTGGGCGGCTCGTTTCATACGAGTGGAGCGAACACGCGCGGAAGCTTGTTTAGATTTAGCTTTCTTTCGGTTGTGCGTAATCTTTGTGAATTACCGGTCCTGCAGTGCAGGTCAAGCAGTCTCCTAACAGAGCTTGACGTGGACATAGAGAGAATGTTGTACTTGAAAATCTTCTTTGTTCTGGCGCAGTCTGGAAAACAGTATGAGCCCCATTCAACCGAGCACTGACAGACTGAAATTTGAAATAAAGTAAAGTAAATTTAGTAAAAAAAAAAAATGTTTCTCTCCATGCAACTATTAGTTTGTTTATCATTACATTTAAATCCGTAATAAGCCATTTTAAAATGAAGCCCGGAGCTTGGAACAAAGATATTCCACAGGAAAACGGAACAAAACCAAGAGCTGTCTCTATAATCTGTTACATTCATGTAATTGATAAAAATATTTTGTCTTCTGAAAAAGGGAGATAGGTTGAAAGATAATAAAAACATCTACTTCATTTGCAGAATTAAGTCCTGTCAACATGTCTAATTGCAAAAATACTTTTGGTGTCTCTGACAGATACGGTCTACTGTGAGGAACTGAATGAAAAAATCCGGCTGTTGTACCGACTGCACATCCCTCCTGGTAAGACCACACTGCTTGTGGAGAACGCATTGAAGCACGAGTCTTCTCTTCTCTCTGAAACGGTCTGGACAGTTAAAACAGTCCATTATGCAAATGTGGTAACGGGGGTATTTGGACAGTGGCTAGTAGGGGAAAATGGCGTGACATTTTTGCATACCAGCACTAATAATTGGAGTTCTTTAATGAACGTTTGGGAGGGATGACGACAACCAAGTTACTGTCACCCCAGCTGTCTTAATTTGTAATTATTCCTGGTGTCATTTCCTGAAAGCGATAAATCCCATTTTTGCATTGCCCATCTCCCCCTGTGCAGCTGCCCCCTGGTCACTCCTCAGCCCGTCCTGTGGCCAGGGGGCTGTCCCTCCGCCAAGCAGCTTAGGGCACATCTCACAGGCCCAAAAGACTCAAGTAACATCCTCAAACACATCCAGTTCCTGGGTTCAGTTATGGACACAGAATTTTATACTGCTCTGGAAATTAAGAAGGTTAAGAGGTTTTGTTGCTCATATTTCAGTGGTGGTTTATTATGGGGTCTTTCTGGGGGATTGGGAGCCTCATTTGCGTTGTCCTCTTTTTAAATTAGTCTATTCTTATAATTGCATCTTATTTTAACATTGACTGTTGTTTGTCCATTTGGTGCAGCTCTCACAGAGAATGAAGACGAACCCTCCCCACTGAAGACCCCATTGTTGTCTACCACAAGGCCCTTGTACGTTGAACTTCCTAATGGTAAGTGTCGCATTTCTCCTGCTTCCTGTCGCTGTGAGTAAACTCGGGGCTTTACACCCGACTCAGAATCCCGACAATGCTGCAGATGCCAAATGTTAAACTTTGCATGAATAACGCAGTCGCAGTAGTGTCTTTCTTAGCTCTGGCCAATGAAGGAGGAAGTAGAGCCACAGAGATCTTTAAACAGAAACGATGCAGTAGGCACTTAACCCTTTGAGGAGAAAATGAACTGGAGGTGGCTTTGGCGAATTTACATTTTAGATTTATTGCACAGTTTTGTTTTCCCCTTTGATTGTGTTATTGACCGTGACAACGATGACGCTTTGTGCTTGCATGTGCTGTACTCAAAGGGGAAATGAAGGACTATCAAGCGCAGCTGAAGCAGATGCTTAAGGATCTCGCCAAAGAAAAGGAAAAGGTGACGGAGAAACCCCTGCCAATGATGAACCAGGTGTGACAATCTTCGAATTAGACACAGACGGCAGAACGCCGTGGTCCAGAGCGCGGGATATTGCTGCAGATTCATCTGTTGAATTACACTTTGTTTTTTAGATAATTCCAGCTGTCAGAGCAAAACGAGTTTTCTTCTGTGTTACATGAATACTTCTGGGTTATTTTCTCTGCTTTACAAATGTCACCGTGATGTAAAAAATCAGGTAATGGTGAGGAGCTTCAAATAACCACCTTAAGAAACGTCCGTGAACTTGTAGTCCGACTCAAGGTGCTTGACAAACTGTAATCGTAATATTGTGACTGTCACCTCCAGCGTAACGCCAACGGTTTCTCACGTGTGTGTTTTTTTTTCCAGAGGGAGTTCATTCAGTTCTGCAAGACCCTGTACAGCATGTTCCAGGGAGAGCCCAATGAGAACGAGCTGTTCCAAGCCATCGCCACGGTGACGAGCCTGGTGCTGCAGATAGGAGAGGCCGGCCAGAGGGGCCGCACCTCGGAGACCGCGGAGGAGCGAGAGGCCGTGGGCAGCGCGCAGACACCCGAGGGGCCCCCGGAAGACCCCGTCCGCGTGGACGGTGAGAAGACCGCCCTGGCGCAGGCGGAGGGGGGGTGGAGTGTGACGTTCGAGCAGATCCTGGCCTCCCTGCTCACAGAGCAGTCGATCTTCAACTTCTTCGAGAAGCCGCTGGATCTCAAGGCCAAGATCGGCAGTGCGAGACTGAACCAGTACCACGAAAGAATCCATCTCCTGACGATCCAGGAGCCGTGAACTCGGATCTCCGCCCTGCTTCGTCTCCGGCTCTGATGAGGTGTGGTTCACGTTTTCTTTTATAACCCTCCTGCCCTTCAGCTGAAGGTGTCTACCGACGCCACACGGCAACAACCTTGATACAAAAGCTGGTCACTGAAAACCGATTCTGTTGACAGAAATGACACGTTTTCAAAGAGCAGGTGCGTGGCTTTACCAAGTTTTAATGAAAATAAGCATAAGCAAAGATGAAAACTGAAACTAAGGCTGCATCACAGGATTGTTCAGTCTTGTTTATGTGCTGTTTCCACTTTAATGTCGCTAATGGTCCCTGACTGGCACATTTAAAAATACCCAGTAGTTTTATCCATAGAAAGAAGTGGCTTTTACAGAAAGCTACTTATGAAAATGTGTAAAAAAAAACAGTTAGCCCACTACCATCTGCCAGGTTTTGACATTTTGTTTTACAAACCATTTTAGCTATAATTAGAAAATGCTAGGGATTAATAATAAATGAAGAAACAGGATTTTTACAATCCTACAAACTGTAGCACCGCTGGTGGCTTGTGTCTTTGGGAGGTTGCAGGTTCAATGCCCAACCAAGCTCATCAGCATTCGTTGACCATTGAAGGTGGGCAGGAAGAAGATAACTCTGGGCTAGGCCCAGCTGCCTTAACGAAGGCTTGAAAACAGCTTTTTTGTGTGTTCAATCAGAAATTTCCTTCACCTAAAAAGTGTTTAGGTTTAATTCTGGTCTCCCAGTTTGGAATTTGCCATTATGGAGTTGTTGAATTCTGATTTGAACCTCAATCTGCTGCTTAAAATGTAAAGGCTGTGAAGACAATCCTGAGTTTGGATAATGCTCAGATCTTTACTCACATTCTTGTGGGAAGTGGAACTTAAGTAGACCATTTAAATAGATTTCTCTTTTTTACTATAATCCCAGAAAAAATAAGAGATTCCCTGATTAAGCTTTCTGATGCACCCGAATGAAGTCAGCAGTTATTTAATGTTTCTTCAGTTCTTGAAAGAGGAGAAAAAGGCATCTGTAAAATCAACAGTGCAAAAGAATTCAAGTTTCTCATTTTGTTTGTGATTGAGAATGTAAATCAATAGTTCTTAAAGAACTCAATTTAAACGTGATCAGATCTGTAGACCAGTATTAAATGAATATGAGCCTGTTTGAAGAATAGTTAGCTGTTGTCAGGAATATTTTTGGGTTCTGATTGGAAGCAGGTATAACTTTGAACTCGTAAGGCTAGACTTACAGCTGTGTCCAGGGACCTGAGAGAAAGCAGAACCTACCCCTGACTTCAGGAACGGAAGCTCCAGGTGTGCCTCATCCTGACATTCCCCAAGAACTTCATTCCAAGAAACGGAATGTGAAGCCATTCGATCAGGATGTGAAAGACTTTGAAAGGCATTACCTGCCAGACGATGCCTGAGTATTGCCATGAGTGGCAAGAATCTCTGCACTCCTTTCCAGTTCAGGCCAGCTTCACTTGTAAGTTAACTGTAAGTTTGCGGTTTGTAATTTTTTATTTTTACTTCCTGATTTTACTTTCAAAACGGTAACGTGCAAGAGTTCTTCGTCAATCAATAAAAGTAACAAAACATGGTATTCTGTGATTTTTTTTTTTTAAGACGAAGCGCTTCTTGCTGTGAGCTGCGTTTAGAATTGGGAGTTTGGGATATTTGAAGATCTGGTCTATTTTTTTTCCCCCTTTACCCGAACTAATCAAGTTCCATAAAATAGTAACAGACCGAAGTGATACTTCTGCAAAGTGTGATAAAATAGAAATAAAATGTTGCAGTTTGCTGCATTTGGATAAATGCTTGAAGAAAGCTGCTGTGTGTATTTAAGCCTATTGTACAACTGGGTCTGTGATAAAATTTGTGTAGAATGAAAGATCTCATGTCTGCATTTTGCACTCTGTATCAAAGTGTGTAGTGGGAAAAAAAAAAAGAAAACATTTAGAGGTGTGCATGTTCCCATCTGTACAGCCACCGTTCTAGTCAATAGGTGCAGAGCTTTACAGGTTTCTATGGCAGTGCACTGGTCAGGTGGTAAGTGAAAGGGCAGGGAGAGCTGCTCTGAGACTGTTACTGACACAAGCAGCCCATCCAGGTACCTTCATGATCGCAGCAGTAACACCACATCGCCAACCAGACCTAGTCAGCTGTGGGAAAACACCAGGTGGACCCGAAATGAGCAGGACTACTGCTGGAACACTAGAGACGCAGAGGACTGAGCTGCAAGAACTCTCAGGTGTCTCTTACGAAGTCTCAGCTTCAATAGCTTAGTTTATGCGGTGGGAATGTCCCAATACACTGCCACAGGTATTGTGAATTCTTGTTCTAATTTGGAGATGGTACTGCACATCTGTGGGGAAAACTCACAGATTAGCCAAGACCCGTATTTAAGTCATAACTTGAAATATCTACTGATTGTTTCACCACACCAATTTACATGGTAACAGTGGACAAACTTAGCCCTGTCCTTGTATTAGACAGAGGAATCCTTGAGCTGAAAGGAGGATTTGGCCCAATAAACTGACTCAAGCTGATCAAGCGATTCAAAATCAAATTGTCCACCAAAACATGAGAAAAGAAACCTAATACTAGATCATCTATTTCTTGAGTAGTCATTAGTAAAGAGCTCTTCCGGAACCCACTGATGTTACAGTGCTCCTGCTCTCTTCATCAGGCTGTAAACTGGGCTCTGGCTGGAAGACTTTCTGTAGTATAAACCTTGGAATCCCTCCTATCAAGCACTTGCAGCATACCCAAGAATTGTCTGCCCCCATTTAACAATACCCATTTGCTATTACTTTATGCAGAAAGGACACTGCTGTGACATTTTTTGAGCACTGCATTCTTTCAGTTCAGGCAGTTTATACTGATACACCACAGCAACAATTAAAAACCATTCTTTTCAGGACATCTACAATGCTGTTTTGTTTCTTCTTTCAATTAAACACACTGCACGTACAACGCATTTTTACAGCAAGTTCTTTCATGTATTTGTGTTGTGCAAGTTGAAATCAAAAAGGTCTCATTATAGTCTATTATATGTTTTCAGAACTACAGCAGTATTTCATTTCAAACTAGGTTCTTATTTTGGAAACACTGGTGACCCATTGCAACAAAAGATGAATACTGCTTGAGGATGCAGATTTGAAACATTAGATCATAAATACCGAACGAAGGTAAAAAAACTCGAGAGCACAACTTCAAATGTGATGTTCGTAGACAAAACCCACAACCAGAAAAGACAAAAGGAAAAATTTTACACAAATTTATTTTATCAACAAGAGAAGCAGTTTTAATTCTCATCAACGTTGACTGTCTGCAGACCTGCAAAAACAAAAATAAAAAGATGTATCAGCATTGATATGCAAAAAACTAATTTCCAAGCCCATGCACATAAAATCTATGGTCTTTACTATGATGCTAATGATGATCACTGTGACGGCATTTCAGCACACTTAAGTATTCACTGTCCAAGAGGTTTTGCACCATTCTACAATGATAATCACGTGTAGAAAGAGGATCATCAGTGCCATATTAACACCAGCTACCTGGGGCCCAACCTTCACTTCATGAAGGTTCAGGAACACGACAAGGGCAGGGCAGCAAAAGTAAAATATTTTCTAGCTGTTTTCCTAGCTACACTTGTAAAGTTAAAAACATGAAACAATCATGAAATCCAACATTTTAATGTGAATATTAGTGAACAAATTATCTCATTTGTTTGAGACACTTTGATAAAGACTGGATACTATTTTGTTGTAGATTGTACAGTGCACTGTGGTCCGGCCAGCAGGTAGAGAGAAACTAAAAGATGATCCGCTAGACTCCTGCTATCATGTATTAATATAATAAAGTAAACGGGAGATGAATGCATTATTAAACTCAGTGCAATAATAATTACGACTGCTAGCAAAGTGACAACAGCTTCTGCTGCTTCAGCTAGACCACAGACCATGCTAACTGACTTCATGTGGTTTACTACATTTGAAGGCTCTGAACTATCCAAAACTAAGCACTGTATTATCCTGTTAAACAAATGAACAGAGACCCTTAAAGCCAAGGAGACCCTGCAAGCTTCCAGCAAGAGTTGAGGCAGTCATACTGCTGCTCAGACACACCACAGGCAGACACACTCTCGTCTCATTTTTAACTTTGATTTGTTTCTTCTCCGTTTTTTGGTCAGTCTCTTTAATTAAATAATTCAGAATGCACCACAATCCCACACGTTATATAGGTATTAAAGATCACTGGAATGAGTAAAAAACAATTATCAAAACCTTCAAAGTTACAGTAGCAATACGAAAACATTTTGTTGAGCTACGTCACCCTGCATTTAGTCACTTTGTCAAGTTATTCTGAGTACAGAAGACTCAAGCAATTATGTAAAATTTAAAGGAGACATTTCGTGTAAATTCCCCAAAAAACATTGTTATTCCTCATAGTGTATTAAAATGTGCACGTCTATTTTGACAATCCAATATTTCTTAGCCAGACTCTCACTTACACACTAAAGCTGTAATGTCCGTGAGCGGAATGTCTTAAACTGCCCCCCTGGAGATGAACCATCTGGAATTGAACATCTCTGACCTCCACAGGATGGGACACACCTTATTTCCAAACCGACCACCACCACCGTTTCTTGAGATCTTCTTAAAAATCCAAAATCGCAAACCACACAAACTGTTGCACAAATTGGCCAACTCGGCTTTTATGAATCACATTAGGTAGAGCCTACTATCATTTGTAACCACGACTAGTCTTCAAAATACGGACCTGAGCAGATTTAACGAGTCCATTCTTGCTTCCTTTAAAAAAAAAAAAAAGGATTCGGACACCTTCAGCACGTGAAGGTTACCTGAAGACTCCAGCTCCTACTTGAAGACGCCGGCTCTACTGTCTTTTAGCACTAGTTCAGTGCTTTGTATTAAAAACAAACCCCAACAGTTAACAAAACTGTATCAGCGCACCCAGACAGGTAAGGGCCTCCACAGAAGCACATGGGCCACGCGGGTCACAAGAGCCGAGCGGTCTCCCACACGCACTCCTCCGGTGTGGGTGTCCGATGCCGACTGGACTCGACACTAGACTGCAGCCCGTCCCTCTACTCCAAGCTGCGATTCCAGAAAATGTTCTGAAATGCAGAGCTGGGGGTCCAGCCCGACCCGCCTCTTCACTGTGCAGCCGCTGACAGGTAGGGGATTTGGCCCGCCTGGCTGAGGTGGACTTCAACAGACCGCCCCGCGTTCCAGTGCCACATTCTCCGCCAGAGCCATGCCTGGCTGTCACACGCACTGCATAAGGTGACTGGACAACATCTGCAGCAAGGCAGCTCAAAGGACACTTGGGGTACCAACTTAGATCTTTTTCTCAATCACTTTTATTTGATACAAGCTGCCTTTTTTCCCCCTCTAAGAACACTCAACCTCTTTGCAATGCTTTTCGCACAACAACATTCTCTCCTTTTTCCAACCACCATAATCCTCCACAAGGGAACATAATGAACAAGCACTGCACTACAGTTCCACTAGAAGCAAACAGGATACACGTTTCTGCTCATGCAGATTGCACGGGTATTCTGTCCACCCTGACTCTAGGAAATAATATTCTTCGCCTTGCTTTAGCAATGACACAAAAGTATATGAATTTTTAAGAACAAAAGTATTAATTTCAAACATAATTTTTTGATGTCTTGCAGAAATACAATAGGATAGTGTACCAAGATGTAGTTCAGTCACTATTCGAATGACCTACCTACACATTGGTTAACTCTCCTGGAAAAAGCTATAGAAACAGTCATCCACGACAACCATGATTTCTAAGGCACAAAATGCCAAATCAATTTTGAAGTGCAAGATGATTAGCACCTCACTGTGAGAAACTGTTCAACATGACAAACATTCTGCAAAAAATGAAGTGTCGTAGAGGCCTAGGTGGGTCACCCTTCGAAAGGACAGAGTACCATGAGATTCACGGATGAGATCTGTCTCCCAGTAATCAGTCTTTTCAGCCAAACTGTCTCAAGTTGAAACTGCAAACTGAGGGATGGGACACACTGCGCCCTCTTAATTCACGTCTGCTTCCGACCTGTGGCTTACCTTTGTACGTGGTGACAGGAACGTATGTGACCAGCGTGTACAGTTTGTTGGGAGAGTCCTCGTCCTCGTTGCGCTTCCTGGACAGACGCACGCGGATTCGATAGGGCACGTTCCTTCAAGCCCACCACCCCAGAAAAGAGCCAGGCGTAAGTGAGTCAAGCAAACCTCTCAGAAAACAGTGTCATGGCTCAGAGAAAGTGCTGCACACTTGTTCTATGGTTACTAAGGACCACGGTAACTGAAGCCATATGAATGCAATAGCTTATCAAAGTAGCCCAAGGAGAAATGGTTCCTGCATGACTTTTATTCTTTAGGACACAAGTTTCGTCTTCTTACTTCCAAGTATGGGTAATCATCAGCAGTTGCAATTTACGTTTCTTGACATGTTGCCAGCAATAAAAATTATTCTGCACAGTGAAAAAAGTGAACTACCAAAGAACAATACAAGAAGACTAGATAAAAA